CCGCTGCTATGTAGCCCTGCAGTCACCCCTGAGAAAAGAATTAAGTCGGTTTCGAAACGTCGGGTTTCTTCGAAACTGTTGGTTGGAGTGTGGCAGCTTGGGCAAGTTGGTATGGCATGACGATAGTTATAGCGCGAGAACAAAACGACCACACTTCTTATCTCTGTGTCGTCGTTTTGTTCTCGCGCTATAACTATCGTCATGTTGGTTGGAGTCTAAATCATCTCCCAGTGTCATACCCAACCAGACAGTCCAGTCTTCTGTCGAATGTTCGCATTCGAGAGAAGACTGGACTGTCTGGTTGGGTATGACACTGGGAGATGATATATATATATATGAATCGATCGAACCTACGACCTTCCAATAACGCTTTCGACGCTCTCGTTCCATGATTCGAAGGTCGTAGGTTCGATTTCTGCTCATGGCTGGTTATTTTTTCATCCAGTTTTCTTTTTCCTATTTACATTCCATTGGTTATAATAACTTCCCCTGTACATTCCTTGGCATTACTGTCTGTTAGATCTCAATAATATTGTGTCAAAACACGGAAAAACGAGCCCTTAGGTATACACTTCTCTCCCTTATTATATATATATATATATATATATATATATATAGTCTCTCGTAATAAGTTCACGGGCTACGTGACGCCACACATGCGCATAGAAGAGTGTTAAACACTCGCCGCTTGGCTTACAGATGGCGCAACCGACACTCCTACTTCTAAATTCACATATAAACCCCAAAAAGTGGATGGAGGGACGGCCGCTGTGATAGCTCAGTGGTTAGAGCATCGAACGCGTTATTCGGAGGCCGTAGGTTCGGTTCCTGCTCACGGCTGGTTATTTTTCACCCACTTTTCTTTCTTATTTACAGTCCATTTGTTCTAATAACTTCCCCTGTACATTCCTTGGCATCACTGTCTGTTTGATCTTATTAATATAATGTCAAAACACCGAAAAACGAGCCCTTAGGTATACACACTCTCTCTCTCTCTCTCTCTCTCTCTCTCTCTCTCTCTCTCTCTCTATATATATATATATATATATATATATATATATATATATATATATATATATATATATATATGTATATATGATACGGTGATGGACGGGGACGTCGGCGGCAAAATCCAGCCGAGAGTGTTCATATAGTAGCTAACGAATTAAAATCCGGAAGAACAGTTCGTGGTACAATAAATCATGTAACATCACGCAACTAGCCTCGTGAACAGAACAACGTATCATCACATCACTGCTGGCATCAAGAAAAAATGAAGTGACTTTATGTAACATCCAGACACTTGACAATGAATTGCTTGTGACTTAACTCGGTTATTCCTGGGTGTATACGGGTGTACGCAAAACACACGCACAATACATGCACGCAATAAATGAGCGCGCAACTTCGCATGCATGCATGCACAGTTCCTGTTTGTAGAAGACAATGGAGCAATAATTCATAATATTGCAATGATTTCAAGTCTAGCAGGAGAGCACTCAGAAAAAAAGAAATGGTTGTACACGCCTGAATGCAGTGTTTTATGCAGTGCACGAACAATGCCAATAAGGCACTATCAAAAATGTCTTCCTTTTTCTTTGCCGCTTCGTAGTATTTTTTTATTCGTTTAGTAAAATAACAAGTGTCTACCGTTTCATAACTCATCCATAGTTACGTATTTCATTGTAACTGTTGCACAGTTTTGTTTAGTCATGAAAAACCAACTAGCCGAATTTCTCACGTTGCTTATCCGAACGGAGTGCATATTTCGGTTTAACTCAGTCTTATACAAATATCTGACAATGTAAAAGCTCTAGGGCAATGTTTAGAATATCATAGTTGTACAGCATACATTGCGGATCTCGTTGCTGCAAATGGAGCATAGTTCTTCAACATTAGTGTACCGTTTGCTCTAAAATTAGTGGGATGCCCGAGAAATACCATCACAGAAATAAGTAAAGCCTCCTATAACGGATGGAAGGAAAAAAACTTTAATAGTTATCTTGCGCAACGTCCCTCATGTTTCAGCATATCGGGACGTCAAGGCCTTGCTGAAAGTCGCTAGCTTACCCTCGTGGCAGTCTGAGCATATGAGCTCTATGAAGGCTTACTGACTATAGCAGATCTTCAGGCACATCTAAGGGTTTCTCAGTGGCTTCTGGAATACAGTCGAACAATCGTGTGCACGGGCGATTACATAATATTCAACATTGAACTTTACCGAAGATTAACCTCACTAAACTTCATCAAACCAACAAACCTCGACATGTTACAAATGTACGCGAAACTGTTACACTAGTGCAGGGATTGTTAAAAATTGTGGCCTTGGGAAACCCCAATGGCTTCTGCAGAATGCCGAAGAACAAATAACCATTTCTTGAGCTTGAAGACAATCGAAAACAAGGAGGGGGAGGTGTGATAACAGCTCTTGATGTGCGGGACCACAGTATTGACTCTGCCCGCATTGTGCTGTTATATTTTATTTAATATCGATGGCAATCACTGTCGATGCAGAACTTCACATAATAGATCGCGATTCCCAGCCGCGCCGCTGCTTCAGTATAGTCTAAAGAACCCGCTGACTATACGCTACAGGTACCGCCCCGCGAAAACAATGTGTTCACACCAACGTATCGCCGGAGTTCAGAAACCTGTTTTATATTTTTGCAAAGCATAAACGGTGGATTGTCAGTCGCACAGTGAAACGGCCGTCATCCAATACACGGGTTGCGAAGAGAATCCGAAATTCCCGTGTAGCCCACCTCTCGCAGTAAGTGACACTTCTTACGCATATCAAAGCGCCTGTCGTGTATTTTTATTACAATAACGACATAAGTCACTGGCAGAATCACCGTTTAGGAAAACGGCATTACGTGATCACCGACATAGCAGTAGCCACGAATGAAGCACCTATGTGCTTTTTATTGTCGTTCGAACTCTCTACGACACTCACAAGCATGAATTGGCAGCACTCCACATGTTCTGCAACGACGGTTCCGCACATCGTGCAAGTTTCGCGCACTAGCCCTGAAGTCTCAGTGCCGAGGACCTCATCAGTTCATGGCTACCTGCAGACACTCAGAGTGTAGAGGTAGTGTGCGATGATTTTGCATATATGAAATGAAACGCAAATTGGCTGGTCGAACTAAATAAATTGGTTGCTATTACGGGCAAAGCAGGAGCGGGTTGCTTCATTCTTGCAGAACCCTAAGGTGTCCATCACAAAACTCCTGGGTTCCGTGGACACAGTTGTAGACGACACAATGCTCTAGTCAACTTAACTGATGAGCACACTATATATACACAGATATATATATATATATATATATATATATATATATATATATATATATTTCATTTCATTTCATTTATTTATACTGTTAGCCCAGAAGTGGGCCGTTACAGGGTGGAAGTACAAACAATTATTTGCAAAAAAGAAGTACCGTACAGGTCTCGAGATAATTTCTCGGTATTATTGTGACCAGCAACTCGAAGTTATACATAACATACATAAATGGAACACACATGCGATGCAATACATACGCGCAGAACAGCACATGACGCATTTGAGGCGGCAATTTTGCACCGCGCTGAAGATTTGAAAGACAACTACTGCAGAATCATGCAACCAACAAAAAGTACACACACACGCCAAAAAAAAAAAAAACATATGTCACTGTTATTCGGAAAATAAACGTTTTAGATTCTGTTCAAATGATGTAAGCGAGGAACAACCAATTATAGACTCTGGCAGCATATTCCAATCTTCAATAGCACGTGGAAAGTAACTGAACTTAAAGCAATCGTTACGGGGGACTAGGGGTGGTATATACATATTATGGCGATGTCTGGAGTGTTCTTGTGTGTTGACCTGGAAGTAATCTGAATAGTTTAGTTTAAAATGATTATGAATTAACTGGAAGAGGAATTTCAGACGCTCAATCCTCGTCCTAAGTTCAGGACTATCCAGTCCAGCTTTTTTACAGAGTTCAGTAGGAGAATGATGTCGGCGATATTTATTAAAAATAAATCTCGCACCAAGTCGCACCAAGTATATATATATATTTATATATATATATATATATATGTATACACATATATATATATATATATATATATATATATATATATATATATATATATATATATATATATATATATATATTTAAGTGTGCTATATAAGTGTTCCGTGGACCCAGCTGTAGACCAAATGCTCTAGTCAACTTAACTGATGGGCACACACACACACACACACACACACACACACACACACACACACACACACACACACACACACACACACACATATATATATATATATATATATATATAAATATATATATATATATATATATATATATATATATATATATATATATATATATATATACGAAAACTTAAGTCAAGCTACCCAACGTGTATTATATCGCGGCAATATTTTAAATATTTGAACTTTCGAAAATTTGTCAAAATAAAGACTCTAGAAACAGTTATGAGCGACATAGAATTGTTTCCTTTAGATTTCTCTGGGGCTGTAAAAAGTTAAAGACACTTAGAAGTTTTTTATGTTCACCTCTTGATATGAATAAGTGAAATGCTACTGCATGACTAAATGCCAAATATATTGCCATTTCGGCCTCCTTTTTTATATGCTTTTACGCTGTGGCTTCTCTTGAAAAACTTATTAGTATTAACCCTCTCGGTGGCCACCACAATCGGAGACATTCTTCTCTTTTCTATATGGACAGTTTTCTCAAACATGTGGAATGAAGTGACTGAGCGGCAATTAGTAAAATAATTAAACTTGAGAAACGTCAGACTGTCCTCAAAAGGAGGCAACGTTTTCTGAGACAATGCTGTGACATGCGTCCGGAAGGCAAAAACAAAAGTAAGTGTTTAGTAAATACTCGTTGCATAAAGTGGTTATCCCATGCATTATATTTAATCATATGACGATAGCTTCAACCTCACATATCAACAATAAAGACAACGTGAAGTACCAGAAACAATGGCGATGCACATGGCCAAAGCATGGCAGTGAATCAGGAGCCCCATCGCGACGGCCTAGGTGACTTCGGCAAACCGTGCGGGGGATCATCTAGCTTGGCGCGGAAGAACTGAAACGATTCTTTGTAAAAACGCTCAAACAGTGACGTGGGCCGTTTCTCTGTATTATGACTGCAATGTTCCATTGTGTAGCAAGTTTGATAGCATACTTGAATGTGAACACCTGTCGTTCCTGTCATTGCTACACAAGGAAACTAGAGCCTTACATAAATATCTATAGAACCGTACGATTGTTTTCTCACAATGCATTGCATCATCTTGGCACCACCACTTCACCATTATGTTCAGGGCAGTTTAACAATCAACAAAAGCAACTTGTAGGGCAAGAAACAAATAGCTATGCAGTCATATTGTTATTCTATTGAAGTGACTATTTGAAAGCAAAAATCCAGACCTTTCTTCTTCTACGGCTTGCCACACATAGGTAAAACAGGAGCACTAGGTTGAGTTGCACTTGTTTTATTGTTTACTCCTAGGAGAATTTGTTCACACTTCAAGAATTAAATGTATTTGCCCGGTCTACTTCGATTGTGGTTTTTTTATAAAATGGGCTCTCACTTGAGCAGATGCCTTGACTGTGTGCGAAATAATCGAATTTTAAATGACTTTTCAGTTAGTTTATGGCCTTAGTTTTCGTGTTAGAGTGACATCCTACGAGTGGTTTGCCTCATGGCTGTTTTAAGACGCACTGTTTCTTTTTAAAAAGTGTATTCTTTAGGTTTTATACTGGTCGCAATTTTTTTATGCTCTTGAATCTCTGAAAAACTTGTTTTAAATGTATGACCAAGTATAATCTGCTAGTGCTGTTTTGTTATAATACCTTCGCTGATCTGTATAATTGCCAAAAGTTGTCTATCGTTAAAAAAAGTATCGTTGTGACCGTTTTGTGTCAATTTGGCCCGTATTGTTTTTGTTTTTATTTTAGTATATACTGCAATCATTGTACATGACTTTCATTTTCTGCCGATTAGTTTTAAAACCAACCTTTTTGCTCTCCTTCCCTAATTTAAATCATTAATCGCAATTCATTCCCTGAGTTACTCAGCAATGCAGTCTCATTGGCGAAGCGCAGCTTACTAAGGTACAATCCATTAACTGGTATGTCTAACTATTCCCATTTTATGACTCTGAAAACCTCCTGTAAGCACGCGGTAAATAGCACTAAGGAAATTGTTTCCCCCTTGTTTTACACCCTACTTTATTGGTATTCTGTCGCTTGCTTTATAGAGCATTATGATGGCAGTTGATCTGCTGCAGATTTCTTCCAGGAAATTTATACATGCTTCGTCGACACCCTGATTGCCCAGTGTCTACATGACTGCTGGTATTTTTACTGAATCAAATGCCTTCACGTCATCTACAAAAGCTATGTATAGTGGTTGTTTGTATGCTGAGCATTTATCACCTGATTGCTAGTATGAATGTGGTCGATTGCTGAGCAGCGTGCATGAAATTATGCTTGCTCCTTTGGTTGATTGATTTGTGATGTCTTAATTCTGTTAGAAATTAGAGAGTTTTAGTACTGCGGAATGGTGCTACGTACGCATCACGCAAGCGCCTTGCGTTACGTGGCGTCGTTTGCCACTAATCGGCTTTTAATACGCCGTAGTACCCGCGTACGTAACGAGCGTGAAGCCTGTTGCGTCATCTGGTAGAACAAAAGAGAATCACGTGTTGTTGACAGCCAATGTGAGTCAATTCAAGTGTTATAGCCAGATTATGTCCATATTTTAAGCCACAGAGCCGGTCAGTGCTTGCCTTCGATGCCACCATTTCGCAAAACGAAGTATCGCGCTGTCGCGAACTTGTTCGAGAGCGGCGCGATCGCCTCATACGTACGCACGCACGCATCTCATGCGTGCGTACGTAGCGGCTGCGTACGTAATGCGATACGTGCGCGTTGCGGTCTGCGCATGCGCACTACGCAGAACGTGGCGTCCTTACGTACGCAACGCCGCCACGTACGCAGCGTATGCAGTACTAAAATTACCTTTGTAAATAACTTCTACATAAAGAAGAGCAATATAGAGATAGCTTACAGTGCACTTGAAGTTGTAAAAGAATACGTGTGAGTGCTGATACGTTAACTGACACAAAATAACTCAACCAGAAGCTGTGGTTGTCATTATAGAACGTGATTTTTCATCTCATTTGCCTTCACTGGCTGGCAGAGTTGATTCTACTTTTAACATATCTTGCCCCACCAGAGGAGCAGTTGACATATTTAGGGGATAATTAGTCAATGGGTCTTTAGAGTACACTGACCTCGTGTGCTGGAGAAAGGCTGCACTTGCATATCACGAACAGGATGTGCCTGTGTTGCGCCAATCAGTGCCAAAAGAACAGCGGCTTTTTTCAGTCGTTTTCAGAGTATACGCCATATTATACCATCCTATTTCGGTTGAAACTGTGAAAATATCCATAGAGAGGTCTAAACGTACCTTCGCGATGTAACCATTTCCAGCATTCTGAGGCAAGGTTAATGTTTCTGATGAGCGGTGTCCCGGATGAAAACAGAGTGACTTCCCGACGAGAACGCGTACAGGGCATCCAAGGGGAGGCATTAGATATCCTTAAATGGCTTGTCTTTTATTTACTGAAGTTCGTTCCCGAGTCACCTACATTTGGCCTTGTGTTGTACGCATCTTGTTTTTGTCAATAGTGTTGGCTTTTGGCCGCAAGCCATAAACAGATAAGCCCTGCTTCCAAGTTTGAAGCCGTATGTTGTCGTCCCGGCTGGCAGTGTTTAAATCATTGTTTACCGTCATTAGAACTTGCCGTTTGACGAAGTCGTTGCCCGCGTGATCGTGGTCGCTTTTTCATGGTAGTGCTACTGAATTTCGGAAGTCAGACTGCCTTAGTGTCTGCTTTAACTCTGAAGGTTTATCTGAAGTGCAGTGAGTGCAGTCGGTGATGCTTTTTTAGTGGTGCTTGGAGCAGGACTGTCTGATTTCGACTGTATATTCTGCTGCATCTACTCGCAAGACGCTGATCAGATGAGGTCCAGAGTCCAAAAAGTTCTATTGGCAGACTGTTCCTTGTGGAATCCAGCCAATTATAGTGTCAATTGCCGCTAAACATGGAAAATCTTGGCTTCAGATGAAATCACCGGTAATTACTCGCAAGAGATAACATGAACCTATCAGCAAGCAGATCTCAGAGTCCGGCATGTCCTTTATTAAGTAACTGTTTGCCAGCCACTTGCCTTGTTTTCTAAGTGATCGAATGATTTTCCTCTCGGCTGACGGTGCAGCTACACCAGGACAACGGTGAAGCATAACTAGTGTTCCTATATTGATTGGCTGTACCGATTTCAAAACTTCAGTACTTTGCGTTTTTTCGATGCTGAAGTTGAAACGCTTTTGAAGGTGTTTAGCGCGAGACATTTCTTGCGGATCACTTTGAGTTTCAACTTGGATGTTAGCTCTTAAATAAAAGTCATCTGGCTATGTTCATCAAGAATTCTACGAACGCACTTGCTCCTCTTATTGTTGGTTATCTCGACGCAAAATGTCTGTAGGTAGACCGCGTTGTTTTTGGTGTACGGTGCGTCTTCGCAGGAAGAAAGAGCGTTCAAATAAAAACACACTGTGTCACTTTCCGAGGTTCCTGTTGTCGAAAACTTCCGGTAATTGGGGTCGCACATGCTTGAAGCGTCTATTTCGTAGCAGGAACTGCTGGTGAACTTGGCGCGCAGCCGAAGCCCCGTTTGTGTTTAAATGCGACACATTTCTTAGCGATCTTCGGCGATTTCGAGCGTATCCTGCTATCTATCTATCTATCTATCTATCTATCTATCTATCTATCTATCTATCTATCTATCTATCTATCTATCTATCTATCTATCTATCTATCTATCTATCTATCTATCTATCTATCTATCTATCTATCTATCTATCTATCTATCTATCTATCTATCTATCTATCTATCTATCTATCTATCTATCTATCTATCTATCTATCTATCTAGCCACCTAGGACTTTTAGCTCTCCTGGCCGTTTAAATAATGGTATCGATACCAAACTTGGCATGGCATAACATGACTGTATGAAAAACATATTTGACGAGTCATAACATGAAAATTATGAAATATATGTCATGAAAGTCGTGATTTACAATTCATGGTCTTGCAGCTCTTGCGGTGGTTTCGTTCGCATAGCATCTTGAAAAAGTGTTATAGTCTGACATGATTGCATGCCGAACACGAGCGACCGACCCTAACATGAAAATCATCAGATGTGAGTCATGTAACAACATGACTACATGCAACGCTCATGATGCCTTTGTGGCCATTTCGCTAGCGTCACATATGCCAAATTTTTTATTTCGGGACTTGAAGGGATGACGAAGGTGTGATACTGGTTCAAACATGATGAACATGAGGTGCCTGTCATGTAACATGACATGCTACGCTCATGATACGCTCGCGGCCGTTTCGCTAGCTTCACATGTACCAAACTCGGTATTACGTGACGCGAATTGACGACATAGGTAAATGACACATCCAAACAAATATTCATGACATGCATGTCATGTCATGCTTGACCACATGCCAAACTCATGGTGCGCTCGCGGCCGTTGAGCTAGCTTCAAATGTGCCAAATTTTGTAATACGTGACGTCAGTTGATGAGAAAGGTGTGTGACTAGCGTAAACATGGTAATCATGAGATGCGTGTCATGTTAGAACATGACTAAATACCACAATCAAGGCTCCAATACATTTAGACGTGACGCAGTGCGCGTGCTCGCGAGTGTTCATTTCGTCGCGTCACGTGGCGTTGCCAGGCAAGGCACCGATCTTGCCATATTCTCGCAGGCGCGCGTCGCATTGCGTTGCTTTGACGCATGTGCGTTTCAGCGTGTCTGGCTTCCCGAAGTACGTGGGGGGGGGGGGGCGCTGCGAGCGCTCGTTGGTGACGGACGCGCTGCACATCGCCTCCGTAGATTTTCTGCTATTTCTGTGGACATCCACCTTGGTACCCCTGAAACTTGGATTTATCGTCACCGCCAAGTTCTCCGCTTCGCCTAGACAACACCTTCGTCCAGGTGGGTCCAGT